CGCCGGCTCCGAGCCAGCAGCCCCGAGGCGCGGCCCCATGCCCTCCCGGTCCCCTCAGAATTCCCGGGTGACGGGCAGGGTCCAGGGTCTCACCAGGAAGAAGTGCGCCTGCTCGGCCGTGAGCCGGACGCTGGCCTCTGTGTCCAGGTAGAAGGACATCAGGTGGTGTCGGGCATCCAGGGCAGTGCCCCGGCACAGGGTGCTGAGGGGGACACGTGGTCAGCGGGGAGCAGCTGCAGCGGCACCCCAGCCCACCCGCTGAGGCCGCCCCAGGCACCTGTAGGGACAGGGGTGCAGGGCGAGTGTCCCCTGCTGGGGGGCCTGCTGGGGCCCGTGCACAGCCACGTCCACCTCCTGGCGGCCGTCCTCGTTGGCGTACTCCACCACCAGGGCGTAGCGGCCTGGCCGCGGCACCGCCACCTGCAGCTGGACACCCACCTGGGGGGCGGGGCAATCAGAGGGCCCGCCCAAGGCCCGCGGCTCCAGGCCCCTGGGCCCCGCCCCCCGCCCCGCCCTGGGCCTGAGCACAGCGGCCTCTGGGCCCCGCGCTCCCTGTCCCTCCTGCAGCCACAGGCGCCCCCCGCCCCAGGACACAGCCCCGAGGTCAACCCCGGGGCGCAGCGGCACCCGCTGGCCCAGTGCAGCTCCACGCCCCGGTCCTGCCCTGCAACGTGCACCCCGCCCCGGGGGCCCGGGAACGCACATCGCTGCCCTCGCAGGCGGCCAGAGGCGGGTGCTCAGGGCTGAGCTGCTCCGGGCGGCAAGGCCGCGGGAGGCCATTGTCCTGGTGGCACGAGGCCTCCAGCCCAGAGGCCGAGGGGAAGCCGTCCAGGGACAAGTGGGTGTAGAGGAGGCAGCTGCGGGGGCAGATGGGTCAGTGGTCAGTGTGGGGCGGGGTGGTGCGGAGGGCCGCCCCGCCGGCCAGCCCCCCAGGGTGGCCCTCACTTCTCCCCAGGGCGCTGGGCGTTGGGCCGGTGCGTGCAGGCCTCCGTCACGGGCAGCTGCAGCAGGGCAGCCTCGTAGTAGGCGCTGGGCAGCAGAACCACGTAGTCCTGGGGGGCCCGGGCGGGTGCTGAGGAGCTGGACCGGCAGCCCGGCCCTGCCCCGCCCCGAGCCCCCCTCTGGGGCCGCCGGGGCCTGCCCCGCCCCGAGCCCCACTCACCAGGAGCACCCCCTCGGCCTCCACCAGCAGGGCCCAGGCCCCGGGATTCAGCACGAAGGGCTCCCCGAAGCCCCTCTGGGGCACGGTGACAAACGCGGGCTCCGTGCTGGGCGGGAAGGCCACGGGCTGGCTCTGCTCTGTGCCTGGGGCAGACAGCGAGTGGGCCCGCGTCCGCGGCGAGGACAGGCCGGGCAGGGGCGGGCGGGGCGACTCACAGTTGGCGCAGCTGGCGAACGCGCTGTCCTCGCGCACGGAGACCCTGCCGCTCACGCCGCCGGGCCCGCGGTTGGCAAAGCGGAAGACCAGCCGGAACAGGTCGGGCGCGGTCACGTTCAGCCTGGCCACGATCTTCGGCTGCAAGGCTGGCGGTCAGGCC